AGCCGCCGAACTGTAGGCGCTCGCCATGAGATCCCTCATCCGTTTTGGGCAAACCCTTCAGTAGTGAACGTCTGTCCCCTTCTTTCAATCGGACACAACTCGAATGGACACCACTTGTGGCCATCACCTCCAGTGAATTGGTTCTCACATTTGATGACAATTTAAACAAATTATGGTTTAATTGTCGCAAAAATGACATAATTTTGCACTTATTTCACATCAAATTCAACCAAAACTGCCGTAAATAATACAAAATAAAACTTTTATGAGTTATTCATAAAGTCTATAATGAGATATAGAGGGGAAGGCGTGCAATGAATTTGAATTACAGTATTGTAAATTGAAAAATATGTCAAATGACCCGGATAAACCTGTGAGAGCAAGTTGTACTACTGTATGATTACTATTGGCTACCTCAAGTATTAGGTATTAGTGGACAGTACGTCTAATATTTGATTAACTTGTTTGTGAGGCATAATGTGATGAGATCTGTATTAATGTGTTGATCGATGTCTTAATTGATAATTTTATGTGATTTTATGTCAAGATTTTTATGTCAAAAGTTTTATCACATTTTATTAGCAACCGATTATTCAGTATAAAGTGCTATCATTTGGTAAACAGTGTTACATAAGACTCATTACTACTTAAATCAGTGTTTTTCAACTCAAATTATATGATATTCTTGTACCACATCTTGTATTCTTATATCGTATGATCGCTTCCATTACCACATTCCTCAACATATCTTCGGGAGTGTTGGCAATGAATGAAAGTAAGACCAATCAATTAACAAGCATTTCAATATTTAAATCACATGATGCGATAAATAGTGTCTAAATTATGACTAATAAAACATTTGGGATTTAAATCTCTTATCTAATCTATAATCTTATGAATAGTCAGGGAAACCAATAGTCAGTTAATGTTTGCATAGACTTTGCGAATGAGATAAATGGGCGGAGTTTGGGTAAAATGAGTCAATGAAATGAGTGAATTGGGGTTTATATTGA